CTTTTCCGATAAGAAGCTTCCGCATTTTTCATACTATGCTTATTAAAAATGTACCATATTATCAGTAACAGTCATAAATGAAGCCTTTTGCTTTTCGTCAGCCGCGCTAGTTACTCGCAGCGGCACAATGGCCATAGGCGCGACTGACAGTACTGTAGAAGTTATTCGCCCGTGACTGGCACGCCACACGTTATAGACCTGGCCAATATCATTACAATGGTCTACTTCGCCATTCTACGCTAACATCGCAGACACGATACACTGACGGAGCTCAAAAATTATTAGTGATGGTGAGCAGCATTTGCCATTGTCGGATTCTTCTCTACTACGTTAAATTATCTTTAATATTTGTTATTTTGTAGTGCAATACCATTACCGTTCGTATCAAATGTTTCTATGATAAAGAAGGGTATCCGCTGAACCCCAAATGACATAAAACGCCATGGGCATATAGCTAGCTATACTGAGTTGTTCTTATAGCTACGTTTATTTGGTTTTATTTAACTGTTATGTACCTGTTACAAATGTATGTTTTCCCTAACGCTTTGCTATATTAGAGCTTTGCTTGTGCTCTTGAGCGCATCTTTTCAAAAAAGATGGACTTACAACAGCTCACTAAAACCTGCAAACCATGACAATCTTCGAACGTCTCCCTTTTAGCCGAATTACATCCAGCGCTATAACGATACCTACAAGTATATTAGAAGACAACACTAGACACATCTGTATAAGATAGAATACCATCAGTCCATAAACGCTATTGGATTTGCACCTTTTACAGGTAATATTATCAAATGAACCACAGGCCGTACGGCAATTACTATAATTGAGTAGAGATTTGTTACATGAAATAAACCTTATCGCCTTGATAAAGAGGGTAAATAAATATTTTAACTTGCAGGTCTCGTACTGCCGTTAGACATTGCCCACAAGAGAATTTAGTCCACTTAGGGTTCGCTGTCGCATGTGCGCAGCCTTGACTGACACCATCCTTCTTTTTCTGTCCAGGTTTACCGCACAGATTTTTTAGAATATCCATTGAAATTTGCATCGGATCGAATACTCGTTTCACATAAACTGTATTAATTGAAATATTGAGTCGACACATCATACGTTCACCAAAGGTAGTGACTCATGGTCATACTGCGGCTTGAGGTACTTGCTAAGTGCCAGCTAAACTAGGGTTTACACTTTTGCGGTGTCAAAATCGGCCCTACAATCGGTCTACATTTACAACAGCAATGTAAGCTTTACGTAGACCAATATTCTTTGTGCATAAACTCAGTACGATAGAAGTTCTGACTACCAGAATTTACCCTTCGCAGCTAAGCGATATCCTCAACAGATTGTTCTGCTCATAAAGACTACAATTCTACCGCCCGTCGTAATTCGATTAACAGTCATCAAGGTTGTAATCCCATAATAACCTGCTTGAAATTCATCAAATGAACTATTTATCGCCCTTCGCCCCTCTGCAGCAAACGCTGTGTCCAAACGAAACAAAGATTCGTGCATTGTAAGTAAAACCTACTTTCCGATCGTCGCCGGTCAACGACTCTGTACGGCTGCAAGCACGCATCTTCAAATTGCTGGCCAAAAGCCACTCAAGACTTTTACTAGGATCGCTCTTTTACACTGGAGTCCAATCTTTCAAACCAGCAGCTATTATAACTGTGGAAAAATTCAGTACACCCTCTGTATGTTCATAGTAACTTTTGTTGTTTAAAATAAACAGGAATATTAAAATAGTAAATTACTCTTTCAAAGTTTCTTCGTGGTGCTACTGGGGTCTATCGACGTAACAAAGGTTTCTTATGGAGTTCCCAACAGCATAACGTTTATTATATCCAGGCTAACTATTTTCGTAAAATTATAAAAAATAAGCTTTCTTTAAGCGAAAGTTTAAGAGAAGTTTCTTACTCTGTTATGAAATTTTATTCTTTTTAAATTTCAAGCATTTTTAAGGACTCAACGAAACGATGTTTAAACGTACAAAAACTACAGAACTTCTAATCTTTCATTTCAGTATTATATGTATTGCGCTCTCTCTTTATATATCTAAGTGAGCCAACTATAGCCAGGATGGTTAAGATAGAGACAAGACTATTTCTTGTTGAGCTAAATGACTAAGTAATAAATATGCATGATGAAAAATAAAAATTAATTACTATACTATTGTAAAGTATATTCCGGTGTTTAACATTCATCTCTTACCAAAAGACACCGTAAGTAATTTAGTAAATTGTAATAGCTCTAAATTGCTAACAGTATCTATCTTCCAAAAGTATCATTACAATTGAGCCACATTAATTGCCAAACCGTCCTTAACTTTAACTTCATGAGAAGAAGAATAGAAAAAAACGTTTTGTTTTTTAAAGTATATAATATATTAACCAAAACAATGTGGTGTGGGAATCCTATAAACACAAAGGCGCTCCAGTAGTTAGTTTTTCGAGATACACTTACATTCTATAGTATATAGATTTTATGCGTGCTTAAGTATGAAAAAAAATATCAACAAACGGTATCTACGTTTTGAATAGCATCAAGCTAATATTATATCAGTATATGAATTACTAGAACCTTAATTACCCAGCATTGATAATAGTTTGTCAATTAAGTTCGTTGGTGAGGCCGTACAGGGCTAATTAAGGCGCACCGAGTATATCTAAAAATAATATTTTGCAGTGGTTCTTCTGTGTAACAAATTTCGATTACAGAAATCACGGGCCATATATGCTGCTTGTGTGAATTGTAAGAAGAAGGTAATTAACACAGTCTTTAGGAAATACATACTATTATTGAGCTTTAGAATGGCTTCGCTCTTTTCTAAGATCTCGTAGATGACTGGCAGTCGAAAGTTTATACTGTTCACGTAGAGTTCGTGGATCGAATACTCCTTGTACAGTAGTATGTAGTATAGCAATTCGTAACACAGTCAAAGTTACTAGGTAAGGCCAACTTCATGTCAGATTCCTTTGCTTTGCAATAAGCAAATGGCCTTGCGGTACTTATCAAAACGTGGAATTAGTGGTATCAAAAGTGTGGCAGTGACGTCAAACACGGAACGATCAACGGAATGAAGTGAAGCAAGCTAGACAATGAATTCTGACAGCTCCAGAGTGGTGATCTTCTGAGCGAAGGTGTAGCCTGTCCGCGAATAAATTGAATACAAATAAACAGAATATCGAGAAACGAAAAAGGAAATCCGCCAAAAGAATATACCTTTAGTAGAATTTCTTTTTCTACACATTGCACAGAGGCCACCATGTCCGGAAAAACGACGTTGTGCAAAAATTCGTACTACTGACCAAACAAACTAGCACTTATAGTCCTAGAAGAAACCAGTCTGTTGCGAATCTGAAAATTGACGTATGTGTAACGCATAGTTTTTTCTTTACCATGAGCTTATCACGATGAAGAATCGCAGAAAGTTTAGGTTTTTTCCATACCTTTGAAGCTTGTCTAATCGAATTTATGAAAAATGCTAGAGTTAGTTTGATCAATCAAGCCAATTCTGACCCATTGATCAGAATCACATCCGCCGCAAAATGCGTGTCAACTTGACCCAATTCTCCCAATCCAGTGGGCAAACAAGCTTCGGCCAAGCTGTTTCCAGATAAGTGATATAAGTGAGGGTAAGCTCACACGGTCTGTCGGTTCATTCGATCTTAGCTGTCTCTGTGACAACAGAGGCAATTACGGTTCACCCTTTAGTATGCCTTTAAAGAGCACATAACAAAAAGGCTTTCGTTTTAGTATCCCTTGAAATACTAGCTTGCACTATCATTTAATTAAAATAACAATGCCAATATTTGTTTCAACAAGCAAGAAAGGAACTGCTGTCAAGCTTCGTAGAGGTTATTTCTTGTGTACATTAAGCAAATTATTTTTAGCGAGCCTCGTCTATAACCCACGATATTAACATCGTGGCAGGTGCAAAAAGAACAGAAAGCGCAAACACCATTCCCCTGTCCATACAGCGGACGCTACAGGAAAGATTTACATTTATTGAGTAAGGGGGAAAAGCCCTACTGTGACGTCAATGATGGAGATTGGGAAAACTATCTAACTGAAAAATAACGCTTCGAAAGGCGCTACGTAAAATAGTCGATGAATAGTACTATAGCTGCCGCTAGCAGTGAATAGTGAATTTACATGCAGGTTTCGAAAACTAATTTCCATTATAGTGAAAGTTTCAGATTAAAAAAAATCGAATAGATAGGCGCGATTTATACAAAAAAACAAACTGTTGAAAGCGTTTCAAAACTATAAAAATAATCCATAAAGAGAACAAAATAAAACTAATAATTTTATTAATTCAAGCTTTATAACTTTACACTATAAAACAAAGCGAGTTTTAATTCTCTCGCTTCCTTCGGTAACTGTTTTCTCCTTGCAACTTGTTTACCACTAAAATCTTACTTGTTACTTCGAAAATCAATTTCAAAAGTCACTAGAGCTTCCAAGCTTCTGAATCCATTTTATATGCAGTATAATTCCATTGCAAAGGTTTATAGATTTCACTTTAAAAATGCATTTAAACCATAATATGACCATAAAAAAAGATTAAGCCGATTTTCGCAAATGTACTTATTAAAAAATGCTCATTCCTGTTGACTGTTAATTTCTTTCTTTTATTAATTGCTATAAATTCAGTGACATACAGTGTTATTTTCTGTCGCGTTAATTGTCGCACACCACAAACATTTTCATCGTCATCGTTATGACCATTGACCTGTTGATGTTCACCATTATCATCAGCAGCACCGGTATCATCATCATCATGGTAAATGTCAATGTGTGGCAGCTTTCGTATTTCTCGTACTCTTTTCGCTACTCATTTTCATTATTATGTACCTCAATTCATTTATGCAGTTGTCTGTCACCTTCCTTACCATTGCAGCCATTTCTTCTGACCACATTATATGGCCTCAAACGCAACATGTCGATCCGATACCTGTCAGTATTCTGGGTCGACGAATGCCAGTGTATATATGTTCGATCTTCGCATCGTCCATCTCATACATCATAAGCTTGATTGTTACCGTCTGCTTATCTCTTATGTTGATTTTCAAAACCACTCCAATCCGTGTTGGTTCGCGTAGCCGCGACAAGTCTACCTTATCTAACCTACCGACAACAGCCGCATCATTCCACTTCGTCTTTTTTCATGCTTTGTGTCCAGTGTGTATACTATCAGTGACAATTCCTACCAATCTGAGAGGAAAAAGATCACATCCTAATCATCACATCGTACTCGCAGTATGAATACGACTTCTTTCTTCTCACACCCCAATTTCTGTCTTCATCTTGTTTCAAGACACCATTTGAAAACCATCATTTATGCTCACGCATTTCTCGCTTCGGCGTCGAAAACCTTGACATGAAGACTTTTCTACATGCGTTTATATATTCCACACAATGATACCTCGCCCTACTAGAGTGCCGCTCAAACATTTACCTCGTCATTGGTCGATCACCATTTCTATGATCATGTGGACCGTTAGCCACGAGCAAGTCCTTACGGGAGCCAAGTGCAAAGTATCGTTTTTCCTTCGTCAGCTTGACATTTTTGTAGACTGGGAGATGTGCGCTTGTGGGTCTTGACGCTACTAAGGAACGGGTCTCTGTTTACATATTATACTAATTAGTATTGTTATTTGTTTATGAGCGGTTCGCTATGCTTGAACATTTTCGACTGTTCCTCTACCTCTGCTACCACTTTCCTCGGAGGTTTCTCGCTTGGATACACTCAAGAGGACATACTATGTCGTACATTTATCACGTTTGTAACTACTGTCCGCTATTATTATTATTATTATTAGTATCAGTTGTCCGTTGTTTTGCTTGTCCATATTACCACATATTGATGTCAACTAATAATCACGATACACAATCGCTACTATATATATATATATATATATTTTATCTCCAGTGTATATATAGGAACTAAAATAAGAAAACGTCGTAAATGCAGAGAATTTCAAAGGCTAGTAGATGCGAAAAATTAAAAAAAGCATATCAAAATTAAACACAGTCAACTGAATCACACCGCACACTGCTTATATATTTACTTTCCTTTTTTGTTCTAGTACTCCTCACAATAACTTACTAAGTTTGTCTACTGTGAAAGCTCGAAGTTTTGCTCTATCGTGGAACTTGTCCTTTGAAGCTACACATAGACAATAACGCTGGTAGTGCAGCTGCAGCCTAAGACTGTTAGCAACAAAAAAAACTACCGTATTAAAGGGAAATTGGGATTCGTTTCCATTGTTCATTGAGTTAACTAGAACGTAAAGAGAAAAGTTTTTGAATTCAGTGCTCATATAAACCCAAAAGATTGCGCCGTTTAGAGATCTCTTCATCGGCTTCTTTCATCCGGCTTTTAATCGCTTCTATCTATAAGCAGAATCTAGGCTACCTTGGTAAGCATCGAACGAACAACACGAACATAGTGGACGAAATAGAAATAATGCTATTTAATAACTAAACTTATCATTTTTATTCATTATTACCACAAAATTTTTTGCCAGTCCCTCATAACTAATCACCGCTGTTATCATCGTTGCCGCCGACCCGGTGAAGATGCGCACGGGCAGAGAAGCCCTTGACAGCGCGCATGACAAAATAGGCTGAACATAAAAGATTAACTTCAATCCCTTTTTCTCTCTCTCCCTCACACAGACACAGGTATATAGGCGCGTAGGTTGCACTGCGTGCTTCTTCGGTTTTTTGATGCAGTGCTATTTATGTACACTTGTTTAGACATGCAGTAACAAGTGCCCAATCGATGTGCGCGTAATTTTTTTTATTAGCTTTTCCTTCCTTCCCGTGCCCACTCCCCCCACTTTCTCTCTCCCGTTCTTGAAGCATGATCGACACCTTAAGCAATTCTAATTATAACAAATAGTGATAATTACGATGATTTTAAAGTTTGCAATTATTGAAGAGCATAGACATCAGTAAAATTTATTTTTCGCTCTCCCCGCTCGTATTTTTTTTATCAGTTTTTGAACGCGATGTAAACAATACAATAGAATCGGTTTACCCGAGCATTGCTGATATCGCACTAGCAAACTTTCGCTAATGGCAGCAGTGGCATGGATTAATATTATTAGTGTTATCATTACATTGTAATCAACATTAGTTAGCGTGGGAATTCATTTATGAAACTAAAGCTATTTATAGTATCCTTCTGCTAACCAAAACATGGGTCTCTCTCCTTCTATATATATATATATATATATATATATATATATATATGTATATATCTAAGCATTTGTACCAGTAACAGCAACATCATCTATTTGGTACGACATGTTACCCATTGACGGCGAACGATTTATTATTATTATTACTATTATTTCATTGATTTCGTCAAATGTTGAACATTCGTCCCATCGTCCATCCCACGGTATCAGAAAACTTCTTTCCGTCCGTCCCATTATATTGCCAGCGCATTATATTCAATCAGTCAATCAAGCTATTATTACCGAACAGCTGGAAAATATCCGCTGTGAAGTCATCAGTGGTTGGGTCTTCGCAATAATAGTGGTAGCGGCAAAGAGACAAGGGTAAGTGATAATAACTTATGGAAAGCCTTTTTCTCTCTCTATAGGAGGTTTATTTGTTATCGTGTGAACGTCTGTGTGCTCGCGTTCGAGTGTATCGATCTGAATTATGTGCGCGGACGAGCCCATACACGTGCTTGAATAGAACATCATAGATACGTATCCGTTTGAGTTCATTGTTTCCTTATTTTTTATGTATGCATTTTTTTCTTTCACACATACGGGACTTTTTGCTTACTGTCGTTTAGCTCGCACGGTACCGAGCGATCAACAGCTGATATAGAGACATCATATTTACTACTGCTTCTACTGCTACTACAACACTCAGCAAGTGTTTCAATAATTATATGTTCTCATATTTTCATGTTAGTTCATTATCATCGCCATCTGGTCATTACGGTCATTCTGTGCAAAAAATGGGGATCGCACAACGACGGAATAATACGATTATATACTCAATACATGTTCTTCCGACTTTCTGTTGGTGTTATTATTGTTGTTCGTCGTAACCTTATATTTTTAGTCGATTAGCGCTGTCACTGATCAGTTGGTCGCTAGTTAATTTGTTTTAAAATGTGGAAGTTGAAATAATTTCAATAATAAGGGTGATAATAATAATAATAATAATAATAGTTGTCGTAAGCCTTTGTCCTCTCGTTCTCCAAACGCCGGAGCAACTTCAGTTGTCGCATGTAATTGGTGTCTTTGCCATCGTAGGCGTTGGACTTTTTTGTTATTATGATGTCAAAGCGCTCAGATACGATGGAGGACGACATTTCATGCGAGTTCTGGCTATAACCGCCGTTACAGCGAACCGTTGCGTGCGTCCAATGACCAATGTAACATCTAGCAAACAGTACATTTTGTGTGAAGGATATCTTCGCGCCCGGTTGTTGCTTAGTTTAGGCCTGTTAGTGCTTCGTTAGCAAAGTAACGAACGTCAATATCGGCGTCCTGTGCCAACCGTTCGAGTACAGGCCGGATTTGTGTCTGGCATATTGTCTTATCGATGACTCCCGCTAGTCGGTGTAGAGACTTGGCTACATTGAATCGAACATTAGGCACACCGTCCGTGGCCATATTCAGAACAGTCGGCAACAGGTGTGAAGTGGTCAGCTCTGGACCGGACGCCTCGGCAAGGACATTAATGCAGAATAGGCAGGTCATACGATGGAGGTAATTTTGGTCACGGCACATCGAAACAACTTTGGGCACGATTGTCGTAGCGGCCCACTCCTTGCCGAACTTTTCAACCAGCTTCATCAAATTGATAGTAGCCGCTTCTCGAATGGCGAACACATGATCAACCAGCCACGTCATGCAAAGCGGGTTGAGCTTCTCGTCGAAGAACTCGACCCCTAGCTGGCCTGCCAGCAGAGGCATGTACTCGATGATGGCTAGACGGACTCGCCACTTTGAGTCCTCAGCCAGCTCAACGATCGCAGGGAGCAGTGATGTGGATAGCTGCTGGATGCCAATCACACTATTGACACACTGAATGTTTGAGATGATGTTTAGGCGGACGTCAGAACATTCATCCTTTAACTGGGTGAGAAAGAGTGGCAGAAGATGTTCGATGGTGTTTTCCTTGCCGAGGATAGGCGACAGACCCATGATGACACCGGCAACAGCTGTCTTCACATGCTGATTACTATCAACAACAAGCTCCTTGACGCAAGGCAGAATCGACGACATGATGACTTGTTCTTGGATGTCTGGTGAAAGGTTTTGCGCAAAGTCCTTGATGCGCTGCGCGGCGGCCGTACGCACCTCAGCCTCGCAGTCCTTAAGGAGATTCTGGAATGCTGGAACAAGGTGTTCTCGTGCCAGTGCAGGGCCCACGGCTTTCTGCAGGTCGGTGAACTTCTCGGCCACCATGTAGCGCACCCTCCAGCTCTTATCTTCGCTAGCGGTCTTCAATGTTGACATGACCAGGTTGGAGACGTCTTCCTGCGAAAGCAGGGGAGCTATCGACACGCACGCTTCGACGGCAAGTAGTCGTACTGAATCCTGATCGTCCTGAGCTAGATACGCCCACATTGGTATCATGTCCTGTTTAAGAAATTCCGGTTCTATTACCTTGGCAACTTCACCGAGTTTACCGGCGGCAGCCCGTCTGACCATTGGTGTATCATCCTGACACAAATTTCGAAAGCTATCACGAAGATCTTGCTTGACGTTGGCGGCCACCCGCTCGTAGCACACGGAAAATAGCCCGCACGCGGACGTACGTGATGTGAACCAATCACCGGTCGCCAGACGCTTCACCAGCGGCACGAAGTACTTCTCGAGGTCGGCGGCGCTGTGCTGTTGCGAGATGGCTCGCAGTGAGTCAACGGCCTTGTCTCGTACGACCGTTTCCTCGACTGTCGCTAGCGATTCAAGTGGCGGCAGGAGACAATGAGCGTATTCGGCACCTCCAACTAGCGGGCTAAATTGGCCAAGCTGTTCGGCTAGCGCCAACAGTACTTCGTCCTCATCATAGATCGTATCGGTGAGGAACGGAATCAGCTCGGAGCGAGTCCGTTCGACGCCGAGGGCTAAAGCGATCGTTGACAGACGCCGGATCGAATTTAACCGAAGCTGTACGTCCTCATTGCGTAATTCGTCGATCAATACAGCGATAGGATAAAGAGACTCATCGCCGCCCTCGCTCGCAGCCATCGCAGCAGCAGCTCAAAGATGTTCGGCACGGTCCTGTAGCTCTTAGCCGTGGCTGCAGCACTCCCGCTTGCCGGCAGTACTAGTAACAGCAAGAATAGTAGTCGTCGACAGCACAGCACACACAGCGACAACAAAAAACGAGTCACGCTACTACCAGACTGCTGGCTGTAGTAGGGGCAACCCCTAGCTAGTAACCAATCCAGCAGTAGCGGCAGCACCAATAGACCGCTCTAGCAATTGCCGACCTATGACCAATACACGATCACAATCACTACATGAATATATGAATAAATCAGCTTGTTCTTCGCGACAACCAAACAACCGTCCTCGGCCACTGCGACAGGCTTCAAGGATCTTCAGTGGCGTTATTAAGATTTTTATGAAAATGACCGTTTGTTTGCCCGTAGTGCAACGTATAATGACGTACCACGGACAGATTTTGGGCACGTTTCGTTTTTGTGCTCGCGTCCCAATTATCAACAGCCACAATATCAGTCTAGCACTGGCCGTCCTCACAGCGTATGCACACTTCCGTTTACAGCCGCAAACGGTGACGGCTCCCAGTGAGAACTACCCGTACGTGATTTGCACACCAGGACACGAGTTCGACTCAACCGTCAAAGCAGCTCCTCACCACTGGTAGAATAGGGCAGTGTTGGCCAGCTCCAAAGTGGCGAGCAGCGCACTCACACACAACTCAAAAATGCCGAAAATCGACGACGCTGATGCTGATCTGTGTCTGTTTGTTGACAGAATCTGGTGGCGGGCGAGCAGACTACCAGCAACAGCGGCCTCCATAATTTGAATTGATCATGTGGTAAAAACCTCAACGTAACGATAGTCTCGCAAGGCCTAAGTGAGTTAATTTCGTTATGAAGCACAGTTAGCAACAACGAAAATCGAGAGATAAAAAACGCTGAGTTCATAATATGTTTTTATATTCAATACATATTCAATTTGTAAAATCGTAGGCTAAATATAAACATGCATTTAATAATAGGCAACTCTACATAGCTTTGCTGTCTAACCTGATAGGTCGAAAAAATTTATGTTCATGAAAGTACTTGAATAAAAAAATCGTTAGATTTCTTTGTTATGAGTATTTTTTCTGGGTTCTTACTTTAATATAAGTACAGCTGTTTTGTGTGATAACACGGTAGTAATAATGTACTTAATTTGCGGTCCAGGAATATAATGATATTTACGCAAACGTATATATGCGAGGAACTGATAACGAAAACTACAAGATCAATGAGCAAAGAAACCCGGGAGTTTTAAGCTCGACTGTTACCCACCCAACTCTTCCGGTCAGGCAGTTAAGTTGGTTTCATTGACAATGTTACAGTGAATGACTTATCAACAGCATGATTATAGACGACGTTTTTCTACGATAATTTTGATATGCTCGGATTTCTAAACATATTGTTAATCCAAATCTAACAATAAATCTACCAAATCTAACAACAAATCTTACTTTGTTTTAATTCCTCTTAGGATATATTAATGTTTGTTATTTCCAAAAAATCCACCATTAAACCGATGATTTTGTTTATTATAAGTGATTATTTCCTTACTCAGTTTTTAAATGGAACAAAATTTTCACTTACCATTGTTGGTCTTTGATAAACTAGAATTATTTTTATTAAAGAAGATACTTTTTTACAATTATATAAAATGTCTAAATAAAGTTATCTCCATTCACTAATACATTTGCGATATGCGAACGTATATTTGATTACTTTGTTCAGTTGTTCTATAAAGGGTCAGCAGGCTTGAAAAAGTTGATTTAGGACTCGAAGGCTGGAAGGCATCTTTTGATTTAGTTATTAAAATATGTATATATAGACTGGACCCCAACTGATTCCTCAATGTGCTATTTCAAAAATTAAACATTTATTTTATTGAAAGCTGAGAGAGAAAATCACATTGAAGTTGACTACCTCCGACTGAGGTAGAAATCTGTGAAGTCCGTTGTTTACACTGTAAATGATAACTGTAATGATACTTCAGTTCAATAAATGCAACGAATATTATAACATAAGATCAAACTATAGAATGTTCTAAGAATGAATTTTCCGCACAGAGTATGCCATTTTGCTTCATTTGTAATGATTCTCGAGAACGGTTATTCTCAAACAACATCACACAGTGGAATATGATGTAAGCACTGTTTCACTCACAATGCAAAGAGTGTTTTGATTTCGTCTTGTGAACTCAATTTCGTGGATTAACAAACGAAAATGTAAAAGGCATTATCTAGACTCAATAGTAAAGAGTAAAAATCCTATGCTGACGAAAATAAATCTTTCGCGTTGTTTCATAGTCATATAAGAAGCTCTCCTTTAAACGTATTCGACTACAAATTAATTTGGCGAGAAAAATATTTCCAGTGATTCTTACGATTCTATCACAAGTAATTTATTAGTTAATCTTTTTAATTTTTTTGATCGAGGGCCAGATACAATTTTGCAGTTCTCCGTGACACTTGCCCGATGGGTCAATGACGGACAAACTGCGTTATTAAATGGATGTACTCTATCAAAATTGTATTGTAGTAAAATGCCATAATGCTAGAATATACCCTATGTTATATTTGCTCGATCACAAGTTAAATAGTTGAAAGCGCAAGACAATATACAAATCATCTCTTCCCCCAAGTTACTTAGGTAGATACCTTTCATTTGAAATACATTCAGGCCATGAAAGGGTTAGCCCAAAGCAAAACTGAGCTCCTGGCTCTTGGTAAATATTATCGCTGAAAGCTCACACACGAGACTTGAGACATAACCTGTAGTGCGCAGAAGAGTACGAACGTGTGTCTTTCATATACAATACTGTAATGCACGTTATTTTTGTTCAACTGACAGGTGAACGGAGATCTTGAAGACTCCAATTTTCCAACAATCATATACATCGTTTTTTTCGATAAGGAAAATCAAAGAATGCGACATATGTCATAGTAGTCACGATTTTAATGAGTCGATTCATCACCAGTTAGCCGAATGCACTCCTACGTAAGTAGGAAGGGCAGTATTATTATTATTAAAACTAATGTTGCAAAGCTGAATTAACCTACAAATGGGCCGCCGCAAGCTCGACACCATCTGTAGTCGTTTTTAAAACGACTTTAAAATATTTGAAAGACTTTTAAAAGATAATGTTATAAAGTTCGGCTTTTACGTTCCAGCGTACTTACTAACTCTTCAGGGCTCTAACACGACAACGACTGATGGCTTCTTCGAATAGCTGTGCTTTAATTACTGCGCACGCACATTCTTTTCAACTGACTATTTGCTTATACAATATTTTTAACTTATAATATTCGGCAAAAAACAACCAACTGGGACTCGTATCATTTAAGATAACTTGAAAAGCTTTTGCTTAGCTCCTGTTCACATTCACATGATTGCTCTTTATTAAATATCTTGGCGTAATCATTTTTTTAAGCCAAGGATTTTTCTGTGAATTGTCGTTTTGACGAGATCATCCGCACAGAAACAGAAAAAAGCTAATTGGGCGTTTCATGGCTAATTTTGCCATTACTTCTTAATAGTTCAAGCAAGGCGCTCAATTCGCGACATTCACGTACATTTATATTTATCAAAAAATATCCATCATATAGTTATTCGCTTGGCTCGTAAAAGATGACTAATCTAAGTGCTCTCAATTGCGATCGTTTTCATGTACATTTCTTCAAGAAAATCAAATACAGACGCGAACGCCATCCATGATGTGAGCGAATGTTCCTCTGTTCCAGCTGATACAGCGGCAACGTCTTGCGGTGAGTGCTGAAGCGGAGTATCTAAAGGCTTCGAATTACGTTGCCAGTTTTTGGCGAAATGACGTACGTCCTCGAGTAGCGAAGGTGGAAGCGGAAAATGCACCGAGTCCGTCAAGGCGACGGCAATTGTCCTGGATAAATCCAATATAAAAAAAGAATACGTACGAGAAGAAAAGAATGAAAGCAAACATAGTGGTTAAATGAGTCTCTGCACGGTTTCGCTAGTAAACGAACGCGGTCACATAATATACAACTTGAGCATTAAAAAACAAAACTGTTTAGCATATTACACCACTAAATGCAATTTTTGCGTATATTAGATATTAATCTGCGATATCCTAGTTAGATGTTTGTGGTTTTATGGCCGGTACTGCCGCTAAGCGTTGCTTAAACGGGTGGCAGTATGAAAGAAAGTTCGATTAGTGCCGGTTTAGGATCTAGACTACCCATGTGTCCCTAAGTTTAGGTACAAACGTTACCATTGCCCCTAATAAGCTGTGTCGATACCTAAACAATACCACGTTGTCAATTTGATCGTCGCCCTATGATCGTTTCCTGATTCGTTAAATGTTGGGTGTATATGTACATATTTAATGGTCGAAAAAACTTTGACGATATTTCTAACTAGGTGGCTGTAAATCACATATCTTAAATGAGTCGCGTCGGCCGCGATGTCCTTTGAAGGACGCGATTTGGCAGTAAGAGATGTGTTCCAACTGTAGGAATGCCATTATTCGAACTCATGATGGAACACTTTGAAGACGGAGTTAGATAGCAAACGTGAGTTAGAAATTTCCATATTTTACAATTTTTCACTGGCAAACAGTTCTAAACCATTCGAAAAAAGGATGGCTACAAAAAGAAGCTCGGTGTTTGGGTATAGTACAAATTGATGCAGAAGAGTTTACTCGATCGCATTTCCATCTGCAAAACCCTGCTAAAACTGAATGAAATTGAGCCATTCTGAAAGCGGTAGACAACGGGTAATAAAAAGATCATGTATTACAACAGTGTCCAAAAAATGAATATTTTTAAAGTGGAGTATAGCTCTCCAATCCGTGGCAAGGCCCGAACTAACGCCATAAAGGATAACGTTATATGTTTGGTGAGACTGGAAAATAATCATGTATTATGAGCTGCTACCGCCTGGTAGAACGAATGGTCCAGATCTCTACTGCCAAAAACTAACAAGATTACAACAACCTAATAAAAAAATCGACTAAAAGTAGTGAAAAGAAGCCGCGTCGTCCTCCATCATAGACATACCGGACCACATACATCCTTAGTTACTTCGCAAAGATTCAGAGAACGTGGGTGGAAATTACATACGCCGTATAGCTCAGATTTTGTAGATCACGGCCGTCATATGTTTCATCTGCAAAGCTCCTTTAATGGTATTAAAATGGTTCTAATGTAGAAATCCAAAAATCACTTGCCATAATTTTTACGGCCAGAAGCCACAAAAGGTCATCGATGAAAATAGCAAGATTGTTGTAAAACATTAAAAATGTTTGCTTCAATTTGGGCTTGAAAACCGTCAACACTTCTTCTCAGACTATAACTTTTTGTTTGTATAACATTCTGTAAGCTCAGACTTACCGAAAAGAAAATAAATTTATTCTTGAGTTATTGAATTTGCAGATTTTTTTGCATGGTTAAATAAATTACTGATCTGTACGCCACATGTTAATTTTATAATATTTTTATATACGTTTGCCATATAAATATATACTTTCCATAGGAGGAACCAAGCTTCCTCACATAATCGATAATATTTTAACTCGTTTTATAAACTTTTAACTTGTTTCAATCGATCGAGCAGATTAAATAGAATCCGGAACTTGAAGTAGATGTAACCATCCGCTTTATTGAACATATTGTTTAGAGTGACGACTAGAACCTCTAGCTGTTTTAAACAACCATATGTGATTCAGAGACAAATATAGTGAACAATCAATTATATAAATCAAAAGTTGCTTGTCACCAGAAATCACTTCACAGAAGGTCACTTAAGGCTATCTGTTAAAAAAAATTGACACAAAGAACTGTTTTGATATGGATTTAGTAATATATATCCTTTCTGATAATTTGATTAAAGTGACAAACATGTTTAGTAATGTGTGAAATGGAATTTGTCATTTACGTTCTATGACAAAATTGTTAAAGGGTGCAAGAACAGAGGACGCCAAAGGGTATATACAGAGGAATATTTAAAGGGGATTATTATCCGATGATATTTTTAACACTGCCTATTAGTCTTTTTTGGAAGCTACTCAGTATTCATGTCAATACCATAATACCTAATATCTTATATTTCATGTAGAATCTATATCAGTAACAAGAGGGAAGGCGTCTAAGATTTCGTTAGTATCATGGGTATTTCAGTACAATCAGTCTCAATCATAAAAGATTCCTCCTCAGCAAAGTTACGTACATTGCCAAGAAATTATGCACATTCACTGATTAATTAGGAAAATAATATGCTGGCCTAGACTGCTAACTCACCTATTTAGCGAATCCGGCCTTTCTGTGAGTAAGTGCATTGTGAGCACTCCACCATATGAATGAGCCACAACAGCAATATGTTTCGCAGCTGCCCGCGTAACGACACAGTCCCAAATGTGCAGCACATGCTTCTCAGGAGTTTCACTTCCGCGAACTGGAACACCGTTTCGTTTATTGTCGTTCGGGTTTAAAACAATAACCCCATAGCCAAGAGCCATGGCACGCCGTATATAACCTAACTGGGTGCCTGCAATATGTACAATATAAAAAAATCTGGGCTCAAAAATCATCTTAAGGCTATTTGCAAAATCAACTATCGACGTTCTCTACGCATTCTGTAAGTGTATGAATTTTAGTCGTATTCAAGTTTTTCTTTTTAGTATCGGTAATGTCTATTTGCAGCCTGTGTGCATTGTCTCAAACGGTCAAAATGACAATGTTTACGACTGCGAGCCCATATTGCTGTGTCGAAAATTTACTCAGTATCTAGACAGTATCGAATACGGTCATTTTCTCTGAAATGGCAACTAGAAGCAAGCTAACGTAAACTCAACAAATAAGAAGTCAAGAAACATATCGATAGTCTTTTATCCAACTTACAAGGTTCGCGTCTACTTGCCTTTTTCAATGCTGTCGTTAATGATTAGCCTTCTGGCCCACTGTCCGGCTCGAACCATTCCTGAGCCGTGAATGACCAAGAGCAATTTGTTGGGGTTTGTTAACGCGTCTCGCGATTGGAAAATAAAGGTTGTGTGTCCTTCGCCACTGGGCTTGCCGTCAACTGGAACCTCCACGCGTTCAAGGCCTTCTTTTATCAGCAAGCCGTAAACGTACTCATCAACTACACTCCCTGTTGATCATACGATGACGAAAAGAACGAAAACACTAGAGAAATAACAAAGCTATTTAGTAGATCTAGAAGTCTTTATAAGACAACTATATTAGCTATTCTGGCGGAATATACATCTAGGTGTGCGATAGACATACTATACAATGACAGGGTATTTAAATATAAGCACATGCGCACTAATCATGCCTGTGTTCGAATAAAAGTTACATAATCTTTATATACTTAATTAACCGGCAGAGTGTTCGGTCAGAAGAACTTGTATGAGAAAAAATCGTTTCTATGAGTATTGATACGTTTGACAAGATTTGTCTACTTTCGAAAAGAGTTCCATGTATGTCGTCGTAGAACGTTATTTGTGGAAACGTTTGCTGGGCATTTCAAACGTCAAAACGATTTTAAACATTCGTAGTGATCTTGAACATGAATAATAATCCATATTTATCAATAGTATAATGATTGCACTAATTATATGTAATGTTATTGTAGGATGTCACGTATTGAGTATAATTATAGATGAACGTGACCGTGGACGGACCAATAGTCCGGTAACCGGAGTCGACTCATAAGTAAAAGCAACGTGGGCGGGCTGTTCTACTTGTTTAGGACGATTTCTCTGGTGGCACAACAGTCGCTATGCAAATGGTGCTTTGATTAGAAAAGATCGATCAGTAAACCATTCAGTAAATAGCAATATTATAAACGATAGCAAAAAGACTAAGGATACAAACACAGTGGAGTTAAGCACCTAGATCGCAGACATCGGCGATGCAAAGTACGGCCACGTTCATTTTTTCTATCTCGTTATCACCTTTTCTATATGGCAAATGATGAACTCGGCCATACTCTTTCGTTTTATTACATTGAAAGAAGCAACCTACTTGTTCTACGAACAATTTCTCAGAGTACCCCGAGAGATGGACGAACTACACGAATGCAGTTGTGACACAGGAATAGAGCCTTCGCGTAATGGTACTATAGGTCAGGTTGTACACTTATCGAAAGTGGTACATCTATCGAAAAGAAATAATCAATATTCTTTGTAAACTTTAATCCTTTTATCGAATGACATATGTGAGGTACGCAATCAGCAGTTGCAATTGTCGAGCTATTAGTATGTTATGTTAAAAGTGCAAATGTATCCCTTTGCTATATAGTTATATATTGACTTCGATAACGAAGGTAATTTGAAGAGACGTGTTTAGCGGTCGTAACATAACCAGACCAGTCGTCAAAGTGCGCAACAGATATCCCACTTTGCTTCTGCCAATTGTGAGAGATCACAACTCTTGCACACGAAATTAATATTGGTATTAATATTGTTTATTTGTATTGTTAATTTAATACAAACACAAAAGTAATTTACCATTGCCAAGACAAAAAAAAAGCTTTTTTAAAGCGTTAAATTGCTTTCGAACTATATATAAAATTAAGTTTCGTTTCATAAAACAAGAATTTCAAAAAAAACGCTCAAATCTGAATGAACGTATGTTCAAGCCGGCACATATGTTTAGGATCTGAATCAATGAAAAGTTTTACTACACAACGGCGCGTGGAGTACTTTTGATAAATCGTTGCGATCGGACTTCTTGATGTTAACTTACCTTTCGATTGGTTGAAGAAACAATATACTCAGTCAGTTCGGTCAGTTTAGGGTTGTGTATATTATGCTGAGTGTTTTAGGTGTCGCATATTATATTAGGGAATTTAACTAAGAAGAGTCAAGTTCGTTACAACGCCGACTGGCTGTTCTAGGTCGTACTACATAATTCGTAAGTTAGACTTGGCAAATGAGCGGTTACTTCGATTAGTAAAAAATAAGTAGTATAACGGAACAATTTCCAAATAGCATGACATGAAATAAATGTTCAAATATCATGACAAATAATCACATACTGAAAGAGAATTTAAATGATGAATAAAACATGGAAGAACATTTGCCTCTATGCCTAGGGATCCGTCCTTCGGCCAGTGAGCGATAATTGCTTTGAAGTAACTTAGCCAGTTGTGTGAGTAATATCTGCAATATCAGTTAAAAACACTTCTGACCTTTTTATGATATGGAATCCGCTCCTCTAACGGATTTCGCAAAACCATCTTTATCTTTGTGTTCTGCTCCTGAGATTTGATCGTACTTAAACTGTTAGTAAGTACAATTTATATATGGGGCATCGCACGTGCTGATTCACGTGTATTTTTGCATATATCGCGACCGTTTGCACACAATAAACTTAAAATTAGTTTGCTTCGTTATAATAAATATTTGTATAGAAAATCTACTGAAGAACAATGAATTAACTATTGTCACTTAACAAATATTCAAGTCATTACAGATTTGCTAAACAATATACCTTTACTCACCGAGAGCTTCGTAGCGCATTTGATTGATCTGGTGGTCGTTTGTCACGGCAAATTCGAATGGCTTGCCTGTTTGGATGTTCCTCAGCTGCCCCCGATCGTTAAACCTATAGCCGAATCCTTCAATGGTATTGGGAAATTCCATGTTTTCTTTGCGGTTTTTTTGGACCACTTCTGCACTTGCAACACCTTTTCTTGCGCTACAATGTTTGATACGGTTGTACGTTTCGCTCTTTGCCTCCCGGAATCTGTCCATTGAACTTTCGTCTTGAATCGAAATTCGAGTAGTTTCACTAGAGTTCATAAAATACTGTTCAGATGTTCGTGGCCAGTCACCATTACTAGTACCAAGCAATTACTGCAGCAATAACAACTACAAACAATCCTATAACGGCGTGACGCGCTCTACGATAATTCGCGGTCCCGTTTCCTCTCCACGATGCTGCTTTCTGTACCATTTGACGTCGATACTCAAAGACGACAACAGCGCTAGCGACCAGTATGTGGTTGGGTGAACTAAATGTAGCCAATCGCAACAGGCTTAACTAATCGGGAATTTACCGTAACGGTTAAATAGCCTTTATCAGCTAAGGCAATGTACGCCCTTCAATATATTATGGCGTACATCAACGCAGTCGTGCGCTGTATTGTAGTACGCCTAAACAACATGTCAATTCCTGGCTCACTTTTGGCTGACAAATAAAGCAAGCTCTGTTTTGATAAAGCATTTATGCCTGCAAAATAAGAATCACCCAGGCTCTCGCCATTGTTCGAATATAATTGCCGCATAGTATTTGTTTACCACACGATAAACCGTTTATAATAGGTATGTATCACCACCGTACCGGAGGCTGCTAGAACAAGTACTCGCATTGGCTGTGGTTTGTGGTCAATTAGCACCGAATAACTAACTTTTTTCAGTGAGTGACGGTATACGGTTCACACCTCGCGTTTGCGCGTCTGTCCGAATAGTGGCCGCTGTTTCTCTTTAGCTGATTACAACAACCGCATCGGCAGCGAAATCTATAACGTCAGGGACAGTAACAATGGCAGTACTGACTACGTGTATTTGTCATAGTAATCCGCTGCGCATTCGGTCTATTCATGATACCAGTGCCCACCGGGGCCGGCCTTCTAGCATTGCCCGCGCTCAAAGGTAAGAGGGCGGATAGCTCTTACTCGATGTCTGTAGCGTCAGCGGTGTAAATGTTAACGCCGTAAACGTTAACGGCGCCAGCTGCAGTTTGCATCATCGTCACCGCAATCACAGGACACAAAAACGCGCTGATAGCGAGAACAGAACGTAGACACGTACGACTCTCGTAACCTGTCGACAGAGGCAGCCGATTTCAGCCGTCATGCACACCGACAAACGTACAGCCGATACGAGCTGCTAGACGAAACGCTTATCGAGCGCTGTTTTCTTGCTCTAAACCGAAAATATTCCGCTGAGAGCAGCAGCAAGTATCAACACAAGAACCGCAACTCAAATAGTCCCTACTCTTCATCAGAACAGCTACTAGGTAGTAGTTAAATGGCACCGCAAAGGCATCTACCGATCTAGTTAATGCGGCTTCATCGAATATATAATGAGAGAGAATAGGATATTCACTCGCATGCTGATTATGTCGGCAACTGAACCCAGGGCGGGACCAGAATCTCGTCATAAAACCGCTCGAAAAAAAACTGCGGAATTTTGTATTGACACAACAGTGAAAACAATACTGCGCCACTAAATCAGATGACTGATAAACGACTGACCTTGACACATGTGATTCCAGCAGAGTCGTGATTGTGCTCTGGTCTCACGGAATAACGTAAGAAAGAGAGAGAGAAGGAGAGAAAGGGAACGCATCGATAGAATGTGGTCGGCGCGAAATAGATCGTAACAGACGCCTCTACGAACTAGTTTATCCTGCTAACCTGTAACAGCATACTGAATAGTTTCAAGAAACAACAACATAATGCAGAAAACGATACCAACTCCTTCGACGTAATCACCGGCTCTGCTAATAGTTTCTGGTTAAAATGACAATCAGTGGGATGAATGTGGCCGATGTTATTCACACCATAAATATAATCAATCGTGCGCTTACATAGACCTAAATCAATGCGGCGGTAACTTACGTAAGTCTGATAGAATGATCTAAGCAAATGGGTGAATACTTCGATTGATTAATCGGTTGACATTTTTGTGGCAGAATCACACTTTTTCGGTTTGTCAGTTGCCATCTCTACGTGTTTAACAATTTTTCTCTCAGGCTGACAGACCGTGATAACTTCGAACAACTATGGCAAAGCATGAAACAGCACTTGTACTGTGATTTCTATTTGGAAGAGGCTCAGATTTTAAAAAGTATCCCATCTTATTGTTTTTTTTTAACTGAACATTTGTGGGTGTAACGATGTTCGAAACTTTCTAAATAGAACGGGTCCTTTTCTGTGGGTGAAACCTAGAACCGGCTTGAACTCGCGTCGTGTATGCTTTGTTCATGGCGCAATCAAAGGCGGGAAAGAATGAGCAGAAGTCTTTTACCCTTAGATGGTCCGTACCGGTGACATTCCGGTTTGCGTTATCTTCTTAGTGTAGCTCAGAGATGATCACGCAGCGTATATAGCAATAAGATGATGGTAAACATTTGTAAATGGCAGATCGCCGCAGTTTTAAGACGGCAGTCCTAGAAACCATCATCTACCTATATGAATGTTTTAAGCATACTATGAGAGAAATAGCTTACTGCCAATCAATTGAGTGCAGCACAAGTGTGCCATAAACAGGAAGACGTATGCTACCTAGGTTAAGGCAATATAGATGATGCAAGTGGTGGTATAAACTAAATAAATCGCATTCTAGATTTCGTGCGATAACATAGTATGTTAAGTGGTCGAACTGTTAATCACTAACGAAGAATGCCAAGAGATTAATATAAGCATCTATTTTCTTTTCGCTTGTTTAAGTCTCCATATACTCTTTTGCCAAGTAGTTGGCTAGCTTTTTATCTGCGATGTATTGCTTAGTCAACGCTGTTATCCTCCATTAAGGATAGATTGGTTAGTATGCCTACTCCAGATGTTTTTTTTGTATGTGAACTTCATACACCGTTATAAGCGTGATTTCAATTAGTAGTTTAAATATGAGGTCTTAGCGAATAATCCTGATACGCGTTACGATTAAACGAAATATCAGGCTTATTACAAAATTAAGTATACACGATAAGTAGATCAAAGTTGACCCTCTGTAGCCACCATCTAATACAATAACAATTAACACAATTGTAAAGAAAAAAAAATAGTCATAGCAACAAGAGTGTGGTCCGCACTGCGTGTTCCGTCAGAACCTATGGGGTCATGGTTAAATATCTAGAAACCTTTTATTGGTTCTACTGAATATACCAATAGAATAATTAATTTTATGATAATATATACATACTACCCATATTTGCTAAACTGCGCTCGAAAATATTACGACGTTTTGTAAGCCGGACGAGACCAGGCCGCTGAGAGATAAAGGCCTAAAAACTATTACTACAGTAGACATTGCGCTGTAATTGATGTAAATGAATAACTCTAGTAGAGCGTAATCTCTTCCAATACTCTGTTTATTTCATTTCCATCCATTCGATATTTCTTTTAATTCGGCAAGTTCTAACTGCCGTAAACTATGAGGTCCTTTAACACTCTGGCGCATTCTTTAACTGAACTTTGCTGCTACTACTGCACTTTTGGCCATCAACTCTCCTATCGATTATTCAAAATCAAATAAAACGATCATTGGACCGTATATCCTTCTATATGACGTTACAGACATAGAACCTGTAAAAATGTTTCATAAACACCTCCTTTTCTACCTGTCAGCTGTACAGCAGACTGACGTGACCTTCACACAACCTTGAAAAAGTTAAATTTTTTTCAAGGTTGTGTGAAGGTCACGCCTTTATAAAACCTTTTTGCAAGCTTTTTCAAAGCATGGGCAAATATGTTGAACCAGAGCTCTCAGACCCGGTAGAATATAAGTCGAGGTTTATTTTTTTTTCCTAGTCACAAGAAAGGAAACGTAAATCAAGTTGTTGCTGTGGTTATCCACCCATTTGAGAAGTGTGTTAAAGAGAACCTAGATGGACCGCGTAAAAACCTTCCTGACCTACAAAATGATATGATAAAGGATGATTCCAAAGGTTTACCGACACAGAAGGATTACTGGAAGTCAATTCCAAATCACACAACAAAATTATTGAAAGTCCCATCGATTGTATCCGATATCCAGCGTTAGGATAATATTGGTAAATTCGGATTTATTCATTACAATATATAAACCAGCCAGCCAGAAATAATATGATTTAGTGCTTCGTTACAAACAAGTAGCTGAAGTGTACGAGTAACCATTTGCAAACGCCGGCGGAGAATGCCATTCTATTATGGAACTAAATTTTAAAATGGTGTACATCGGCTTTTTTTACAAGAACCGTTATTTCGTAGTTTAATATATTATAAGAACGTGTCTTTCTATGCCGTCTAATGGGCTAGTGAAAAGCAAATGGGTTATGAAGATTTTCGCATTTCCCACAGACAATTATTTTATCGGCCGAGTATGACTGTATGATATGAGTTTCGTGCAGGAATGATAGGACCGCTTCTTTCAGTAAATTGTGAATAGTTCTCGGTAGCATGAGATGTTAAAACGACTTCTTACGACGATTTTGACCTGCGTAATGTGTCGTTCTAATGGGACCGTGCCGGCTATCACTGTCGCTATATTAATCGTTTAATGAACTGCCGAGTAAGATAAACAGCCGTTTTGTATGCGATTTGAAGCTACTGAATTTTTCTTATTGAGATAAGCTGCGAAACAACACGTACATCACGAGCGTCACTGTAATGTAATGTAAAAATAAAAAAAAAGGCATATCCAACGGTATGTTTCAAGGACTATACTTGTATAAAAGAAAAATAGTCGGAAATGGTGTGTTTCTGATTATGGGATGGAGGCGGCAGTATTTACGTTTATCCCGTAACGGGCTTGTTTCTAACATTTAACTGAAAAGAGCTGTTCCTATTAAGTATAGAGTGCGAATGTTGCATTATAGGTATTTATCGAGTACTGCAAGAGCATACCTTATCCTGTAAAGGCACGGGAATTATCATACTATCCTTTCGAACTTTATAAAGGGTCGCTGAATGCACGGATTTTTGAATAACATTTTTCTTTCTTGAAGATATTTCAATAGATTTACAGTTATTTTGACCTTTGTGTTAGGTCTATTTATTGTATAAATACATGCATTGACCTGTTTTGAATGCTCATCCCGTGGTGGATGCGCCACTCGTTTAGACGGGTAGCCTTAGAGCCTAGAGTTACATTCTTGTTGTGAGTGTTCCTAGTAACCTTCGCTGCGTAGTCACCTCTTCGTCAATCAGGTGTCATCAAAACTTGTACCTATCCTAGGATGCACGTCTTTTGCTCGTCCTAGACCGTACATATATCGCAACAAGAATATGCGGCCGTCGAGGTGGCAGGTAGTAGCTTCGATTCATTGTCGTGAACCGACGAACAGTCTGCTTTATGATTGCAGCAAGAAAATTCTTCTCCTAAGTGATCTGTCCGCTGACTGGTACCGTTCACTTATTTATTTTGACACGCACACAAGAGGATACTTGCGTCAACGATTCGCTGATTTATACTATCGAGGTACGGTGGTGAGATGGAAACATCACGACTGTCCCCTCAACCATAAAGTTTACTCTATTGTCACACATCTCCCTTGTGGATAGTTAGCATCCGAAGAGATGTCTGCAGAGTCCTCTTGTCACAAGAATTTTGACGTTCGTTGATGCACGTTAGCAATCGAAGAACACTGAAATTAAATAGAAAAATTGTAGTACAACTTAATGCTGCCAAGACAAAACGACGACATTTTGAAACACTAGTGCTAAACAGATTAAAGAAGACTTCGGAGACCCTCATCTTTAGGACCGTCTTCGTTGGTGCTTACGGCCGCTCACGTGACGCTTTTTTTCTGTGAGACGTTGCATGACTAAGTTACACAGATCGATAGGTTGACGCTACCAGGGATCATTCTCCACTCATATCTAATTTGAAATAATGAGACATTTTTTAAGGACTTTGCTAGCTATGCTGACAGCATATATGCTACTAATGCCCACATGCGACGCCTCCTTTTTTGAAGGGCCCACTGAGGCCCCTATACATGAAGAACCATTAAAATCTGCTGGGAAACCTGCTCAACGAGCCGATGGCAACAGTAATATGCGACAAAGACATGTGTTAATGTCCCGTAAGTGTATGAAGTACAGATTCAGCAGCACTTTATTTTCAAATTTTTGTAGGCTAACTTTTTCTTACTGGACCTGGATTTACATAATTTTTTGCAAAAAGAAACTGTCTGGCAAGAAAGCAGAGTGAATCCTTTAGCTAAATGCATTATACCTAAAAAATAGATCCTACTCATTTGTCCTCATGATCATTCTATGATGTTTTTTAGAAGTAGATTGTAGGTTAAGTAATTCAACTATTCATAACTTCGACGAAGCTCAGCTTGTAGATCTAGTCTAAGGTTCTACCTTTTATAAAAAGTTTTTTTTTTTGTTATATACTCTACGAGATACTCTCCTGTGTCGCCCAATGACGCAAACAAACTCTTTGGAAAGGAGACTAGGCCACAGCCTGTGTGTAAAGTCAATCTAAGACCTTATTTGGATCATTATAACATTCAAAGAAAAACTTCTATGATGGCCGCATTTTGGTTTATGAATCTGCAATATTCCACATGATCCTTGTAATATCATTTCCCTTAATAGTAAAAACTCGAAATATGTGTAAATATGAAAGTAATCTGTTGTCAATATCAGAGTCTTGATGAACGTCCTCTTAATATTAGACGGAGTACAAATTAAGTATGTGGTTGTGTCCGCTTTTATCGTGTCTCATACGTTTTGTGAGAGTCTATATCAGCACCTTGTTTCGAACGGATTTGATGAAACACTTATGCGGTTAGTTATGATTAGATGCAATGCAATATCTTCTTAGAAATCGTTTACGGTTGTTGTGAACGTTGTTTTTTAGCAACTAATTCTATAAAAAGCTATTTTAAATCATTTAAAATTCGTGTTTAGCGTCTGCTGCGGAATAATTAGGCGTCTCCCTGTTAGTTATTTAGAAGTCTGTAAAAAATGTCGCATACTCTATGATTTTTTGTTCGCACTACATTCAATTCTTGTTTATATTTCAGCACAGATTAGAAATGGCGGAAGCGTAAAAGCTATGATAAAAATGTTTCTCTCAGTGATCATTGATCGATATCTCAACAAGATTATCAATATGTTAATGGACACCGTGGGCAATGAGTACGGAGGCGGGAACCTCCACGGAGAACGCGGACCACCAATGCTACATTCCCAAAGTGATGCATTTTTCTTCTAGCGATGTCGAAGCCAAGGACAAGCATCAATAGACTCACAGTGAATAAAACCTGCATTGTATGAAAATGGTGCAGGCCAAGCTGCTAAGGATCATTTGTATTCTGTCAACTCAAAATAAATCACTGGCGCATAAAGTTGTGTTATGTAACGCGATGGCAGGCCTCGTTTTAGTTAATATATTATTATAATGTGAAGATAATGCATTCTACTACACTAATAAACGCTTGTTAACAGCAATCGTCGTATTGTTATGAGTAAAAATACCAGATATGAATTGTATGATATTTTCTGAATTGGCGCTGTGTGTCTGCTGATAATCGATAATAAGCTCTAGCGGGGGCATCGTTACTGAATGGCACATTTACTGCGCAATCGATGTGCTTCACAGATAAAGCGTCATACGATAATCTATTTTTTTTTATCGTTATTTCACTATATATATTATTAGGTTAGATTTACAAAGTCTCAAGCTCGCTATTTAAATCTACAAGGGTAGTTTACGACGTTAACAATTATTGATGGTTCCCAAAGACGCATTCATATATTCGGCTTTAATACTTAAATAAAAATAAAATAAATAAAAAATGTAAATCCTTTTGCGTGAACTTCGATAGCGTTGGCGTCAATTAAAATGATCGATTAGCAGCGTACTTGTTTGTGCTTAGACTCTGTTGTCTCTACGGGACCCAGCAAGTACAGTGGATTGGGTAACTGAATACATCACAGAAACTTTACCGTCAGCATCTACGTATATTGGATGCGCCCAGTGCACTTCGCACAATCCCCACGATAGTTTATTTTGCCAAACCGTCGTTAACATGAGGTAAGTTCTTTCAAAGTTATCATAAAGATTTGGAACCCGTCAAATATTTTTAGCAGCGATGCTAATGCTGTTGTGTTTCCTAATGTACGTTGAACTGTGCATCGTAGAGGAATATGCTGTCATGACACTTTTCACTGATGCTTAATGGTGAAGGGACATATATAATATAACGAACTCTTGGCGGCTCCGGTGGACCATGGTAGGTTTGCTTGGTATGACGACGGACACTTTGCATTGGATGTGCCACACATGTATCTAGCATATAGCGCATAAGCGTTCAGATGAAAAAATTAGGGCGATGCGACCTATACAGCCGCACCACGTATAGATTCCTTCACAGTCCCCTTTCCCTGATAGCCTAGTTTAACCGACTATGGCCAACAACTACTGCGCTCTGCTAGCACCAAATGATGCCGGCGCTCGTCAACATAAAACATGTGCAGACATCGTACTGACAGAGGCAGATTTATGAATAGCTTGGGCGGTCACATGTAGGTCGTTACTGCTGACGGGAGCGCAGGCCGTCGCGACTTTATGCCATCGGTTTTGCTGCGAAGCGTCGAATTCGAAGCCTTCCAGCAGTCGAGCCTAACAAGCCAATAACGGTCGTGGTAGTTCCATAGCGTTACTTTGCAGTTTGGATGAGGCGAAGTCTGCCTCGTGTCTACAACTGCTAGTCCTACTATTATTCAGTACAATTGCACTACTGACATCAGCGACCGGGTGTATGCGCGTTAGGCCGGTTTCCCCGCCGGTTCGTTATGTAGATCTGATTGCATTCGAACTAATTTGGTGTCTACCTAGCCCGTGAGGTCATATTGGCATGCGTGGGCCTAGAACGGGATCCTTACCCTCTGAAGAGCCAGTACATTTAACTAGTTCATTTGTTGTGTTTATGGATGTAACGTATAACCTTGCCTCAATCGGTGCTTTAGTGCTCATTTACAAGCCCTTAGCAAATATGTTCTGAAATGAACAATTCAATGACACCATTACGTACGTCTGAGGATATTCATGAGAGTATGAACGCCGTGGACATCGCTAAATGTTTGAGATACGATTAAACGGTGATAGAAGCAAAAGGTAACACCCACACGTTGTTCTGATCAAGGTCAAACATATTGAAAAAATTCAGTTGCTTCGAAACTCTGCTCTAAAGCACTGGGTCGTATAGTCGCCCATTAAATAGGTCTTAGCGAGGATGCCGATACTCTACAAGTTACTGCCGGCAATCTTCGGAACGCCTGAATATGTGGAGCCAATTTTCGGTCCACAGATTCCCAGTATTTGGTGGAAGAGCTATGGAATACATCTGTTTCTGCAGTTACTACTTTTTTTGATCATCGCATTCGCCGGCACTTTCTTCATCTGGATGATGTGCAACATTCGTAGGTACGTACACCCACTTATTATTACGTCGTGCATTTCAATACTTGATAACCTTTGTCCAACTTGTACTAAGTTACTAATATTACATAGGCATGTGGATTCGATTATATAGTTTGTTATTGCCTAATATGAAAATCCCTAGCCATTTAGTAAGTTATTCTCTTTATTTGTATGAGGGAATTGCGGTTGACTTCGGTGAAACTTTGCAGTCAAACTCAAAGCGACACTCGAGTGATTACAGTTCTGCCAGCTTAAAAAAGAAAGTTGTCCGGCTCCTTACAGGCACATTGTGCGTTTCATTGCTTCAACTTTACTGTTGGATTTCAGTGAGCTTTGTTCTTATCCGAGCCTATCAGACTGACATTCCAATATTGTTGTTGTACCTGGTTTATTGTGGCAACTTTAATCACCCCAATGGAGCATTTAAGGCAAATTTGACAAACCACAGGCCTGGACTTCAATATTCTACATAGCTAATACGATTACTACCAATGACTCGAGTTATTTTTTTGGGTAAGTTATTTACTTGACCCACGAGTCTGTTGCACACCGCTCCATTCGTATACAGCTACTAAAGATGTGTCGATACTGGGCGTTGTGCGTGTACATCCTACCGATATATGTACATCGATTGAATAGCGTTTTCGATCGAGCAGATTCTAGTCTTCTGCTAGAAAAGTCGAAACATCTACGTTTTTATGAAATCAATCTAAAGTGATTTCGCTCTCAATTCTCAGATTAAATTCGAACAATGATCATCGTCAGTCCTACCTAACGTTCCTTTGCGTTTTTCCATTGTTATGTGTGCTATATTCGTTTAGCAATGTTTAGCAAAGGACGCAAAGCACTTTAATTATCTTCAAATGGGTTGTGCGATCGTGAACCATTTTTCTTATGCTAGAGAGCGCCAGGGACAAGGTCAATCGAGTCTGTTGATTTCATGACAAATGATTGCTTATCTCACATTAAAAGTCTCTAGTCTGAAAATATGGAGCCTCCTCTTACAACTCGACTAAGAAATTGGTCATGCTACGCTTTCTTTTGTCGGATCCGAGAGCTTTAGCTAGGAAAATGATGAGTACATATTTTATTAGCGAACCGGTTACGTAATTAATCAAATCTACGGTATTTTTCGATATGAAGTCAGTTGTTTTACGGAGCTCATTCTATTGTTATCCAATCCACCTGAAAAAAGAGCATATTTTTTTGTGTTTAGACACTTTTATTTTTAAGAGACTTTGATAATATTATGTGTTAAAGGGTTAAAAATTTGTACAAGCATTTGAGCGAATCCAGAAAGCAAGCCTTGAAAACAACTTTTTTTACCATTACATTAACTGTTCTGTTGTGTGAATGTGCTTACATTCAAAATCTTATTTATTATCAGCTCATTAGTTTGGAACGCAACAGGGGCGTATGCCCCATTGAGCACATATACCCGCGCGGTGGGAGGCGCCGCGGTATAACAAAAAAGGTAAAAGAAAAAGATGTATTATTATACACTTCTTCCTACGCTAGAGGTTATAGACATCCAGTGGAGAATAATTGTTCGGAATAGCCATTAAACGCACAATTGACCGCCATATAGTAGTTGAATCCGTCAGCCATGACGTGTGCTGAGTTTGGGTCACAGGCCATTTGATATTGACATTACATTCTCACTGCCTAGTGCTTCACTGGCTGCTAAAAGCCTCTCAGATTCTGTATCTTTTAGCCCTCGGTAGGACGTGCAAGGAATTTATAATTCACTGCCCACACGACTGGCGAGAGCGCCTAATTTAAAACGGATGTCCTGCGTTCGTTCTGTATAAACGCTAACCGAAAGTCATAAAGCCAGCTTATCTAAACTGCAGCGCAACGTGTTGCATAATACTGGAACATTCATTTATGTTTGGTCCTATTCAGTCCGCACTAGAGCCTTCTTGCAACAAGTAATGATACTTTTAACTCACTTAGTAAAGCATACACGTTGAGCTAAGTAACTGTGTTTGATAGGCGTGGAATTGTGAAGGAGGCAACCCCGTGCAGGCCTAGCATAAGGTCACGACCAGTTTCGAATATTGCCACAAAAATCATTTACGTCCTTAACAAACAGATGCTACGAAACGGGATTTAGTTAATAATAGAAGATCTCGTAGGAAAAAATGTTCATTTTACTAGTTTCGAATGGTGTCAATGGTTCGACAATAGATGTACCTGTCGTATGCGATCGATAGAGTAAAGCGTCTTCTGATAAAAGTAGCCGCACCCTATGCTGTCACGTGTCCCTCGAGACTGTCGGTAAAATTAATTGTATGAAGCCAGTTTCATCGCGAGCTAGTAAATAGCTGAAAAAATAATAAATCCATGTAGCAATGAAATTCACTGACGTTCAGAGGTTTCTCATGTCTGATCAAGTAGAATGCTATTCCTAGGTAATTTATGAATTATCTCATGCTAGAGTACATTCTACAAAGGAGTCGTAGTTAGTAACTAATTATTGCTACTAATTAATAAACTAACTATTCTTACTAATAGAAGTTAATTATAGACCTTTCGTTATGGCTTAGGGGCATATGCATGCTATATCTTGCAAGCGAACGTATTAACTTCCTAATAAAGCGCCACCAGCTGTTTTACTTTGTTGATCACGTGCTTTCAGATACATTCCACGGAAACCATTCGACGAAGAACAGCTTAATCCTGCTCAGGAACCCCCCATTGATTATTCACCACCAGCTCGAAGAACCTTTAGTCAGCCTAGAACTGTATCTGCCTACTCCGTAGCTAAGACATATTGAAGTTGCTTCAACACAACTTATAAAAAATGCAAAACTAGATAATCGTCTCAGATCGTATCGCCTCATGTTGATTTTGCCTTACGAAGTGCCTCGCA